CAAAAACCTAAGGAGGGGTCACTATGAGTCAGGTCTGACTCGATGGCACATAACAACAACAACAAGAGGAGCTCTGGTGGCATAGTACCTAAGGCATTTGACTGCTAACCAGATGGCTGGGGGTTCAAACCCACCTCAGAAGGAATATTGGACAATCTACTTCCATAGTGATCCCTTCTCGGAAACCCAAGGAGGGGCATCACTGTGAGTTGGATCCAACTCAGCGGCAGTGAGTTTGTGTGTTTTTGTTCTTCTTTTTCTTTTTAAGCACTATGCTGAGCACTTCCTTTTCCTGCTCTTTAGGGAAGGTTGATAGGAAGCTTGGTCTGTAAGGAAAGACTGCCTGAGACTGGCTTTGATTTCTTAGTTACACTTACTTGGTCATTTCTGTAAGCTGTATGACATACCATTAGAATGGACTGTATTTGTGACACCAATGGCAGCAAATATCTTTTTGTGTGATGATTATCCTTTCTTGGTAGAGGATTCAGTATCATACTCTAACCTAGAGTATACTGAGACAGTATTTTGCAAGCTGTATTTCAAGGAACACTAGCTCTACAAGGTGTTGTTAGATGTTAAATAGAAAGAAAAGAGCTCTGTAGTCAAAAAGTAGGTTAACTTGGTTGAAATCTATTCAAGAATTCTCTTTACCATAACATTTCTCAGAACTTTTAATGTACCAGTGTGTATTATGAATCTCTAAGAGCATGCTGTATAGAGTGTAGCATTTCTCTTTGACTGAGAAACTTTATTTCCCCTTTGTTTCTTACTGAAGTGAAAGTTTAAAAAAAGAAAAATTTATTGCCATTGAGTTGATTCTGACTTACAGCAACCCCCTTTGGGTTTCTGAGTTGGTAAATCTTTACGGAAGTCTTCCTTCTGCAGGGTGGCTGGTGGGTTTGAACCACCAACCTTCAGGTTAGCAGTCAAATGCCTTAGCCACTACACCACCAGAGCAGCCAATACTTTGGAAAATGGTGCTCTAGACCAGAATTTCTCAAATCCAGCACTATTTACATTTTGGGCTAGATAATTCTTTATTGTAGAAGACTGTCTTGGTGAACTCACTGTTGGACGTTTATTAGCATCCCTCTATCCTCTCCCCACCAGATGCCAGAGCGTACCTCCCCCCTAGTTGTGACAATCACAAATGTCACCAGATAATGCCAAGTGTCCCCCAGGGGAAAAAATCTCTCTCAGTTGAACAATTTATATTTGAAACATTTAACGAGGAAAAAATAGTAGTGTGAAAAGTGTAACATGTGTAAAGAAGGTTTAATACATTCTGCAGTAATATACTCTCAGAGTCCACTGTATACCCTGGCCTGATTTTCTAATAATTATTATGTAGATAACTGATTACAACAACTAATTTTAGACTTTACTTAATATTGTATGGCAGAGACAGAAATACAATACATTTTATAGTAAAAGAATAGCCCAGAAATTTGAATTGATCTCCTTATAAGTATGTTGCATATTTCTAAAATCCATTTTTTCCCTTTTTATACAGGGCTATTTTCTTCTTTTTGAGTCTATGTTAGATTCTGTCCTTTATGCAAAGAAGAAATACTTGGCAAAAGGAGGCTCAGGTAAGTATAAAATTCTAGTTTCAATAACCTAGTTTTAGTCTGGCAGAACCAAATGCACCTTTGGATTTCAACTAAACTACGCATGGCTGAGAAAGTTCCCAATAGAGATGAAAGATGTTTCCATTGGAAGAAGCTTTAAGAAGGTGGGGACCAGGTTTGCTGGTCCAGTAGAGCCTGGTGGAACCACTGAGACTCTGGCCCCTAGCTGCCCTTCAGGTCTGGAATTGAACC